CACTTAAACCGTAAAATACATATTTTTACTAGCAACTTAGTTAATTAGCTATAAAAGTAACTAAAACACACCAAAACTAACTAATAAAATATATTAAAAACACATAAAATATATGCTTATCAAATACCCCACATTTGAACCATTGCTTGTCCTCAAGCAATAAAAAATACAAACTAACAATAATCCAAAATTTTGAAAATAAACATATGTGTACCATTCAACTTCATTTCCTCAAAACAAAGTAAATAACCATTATGTAATCATTCAATTAATCTCATGTACTCATAATATAAGATAAAGAAGAGCCAATTATACCATAGTTTTAACTAGTTTAACTCAATAAATACTTTCTAAGCCCATGATCGTCTTCTTATTTAAGTTAAAGAGGGATTTATTTATATCGTATAGCTAACTATTACTTAAGTTGTGAAAGTGCATTTTGACGCAAAAATCAAAATTTTTAGATGAAGATCGCCGGTTACTCAAGATTTTACATTCTCAAGTTGCTTTGCATGCTCTTAATTATAGTACCATTTTACGCAAAAGTCGACATTTTTAGATGAAAACTCCCGGTTACTAAGTATAGGAACCATTGGAGTCAATAACTTTTATTGACCTTTTTTCATTTTTCATTTTTTTCATTTCTTCCCTTTTTTCTATTTTTTTCTACTTTTTTTTAAAGTAAAGATAATAAACACTCCCTCAAAAAAATAATCATAAGAAGAGTGTTACACTTATTGGCTATATTTATCACTTAACTATGTAAAATCAAGTAAAGAGAAGAAATTTCATCAAACATGCAAAATGTAGGCATAATTTTCTCTATTTTAAAAGATATACTTTTCTATAAATGCACAAATTATAATCACACAATAATCATTTTCAAGTTAAATGAGAAAAGATGTTTTCAAATCACATATATTTATCTCAAAAGTAGAAGGAATTTTAGTTACTAATAGTATGGAACTTGTTGCCCTTTGGATAAATTTGAAAAAATTTGAAATTTTTTTGGGCAAATTTGCAAATTTTGGACAAGATTTTGAAAAACTTTTGACAGAGTTTTCCCTTATAACTAGATAAAATTCCCTACCAACAAACCCAAGATTGAAAAAGTTTTAGCCCAATAACATTTCCAAGTACAAGTCCAGTATTTGCAACCAACAAATCAATCATATACAATACATATAATCTTAATTCTCTCTCCCACACTTAACATGCACATTGCCCTCAATGTGTAAAAAGAGAAACCAAGATAAATGTAAGGATCGAAGACAACCTAAGAGCGGGATGAATTAGGTAAATTAAAATCTAATCAGGTTATCAGACACTTTTTTGCTCAATATGAAATTTACCCTCTTTTATAAATAACCACTCAATTAAAACAATTAATAAGAGAGCAAGATTACTTGTGAGTAGAAGAGATGAGCAATTTATATTTGTAAGACAATAAGTAATAGGGAAAGAATAGCAAACCAAATTCCAAAATTCTCTTGAATTTGAATGTTACTTTATAAAGTAAATTTCTTTAAGTTGATGAAATACAACCAATCTTTGTATACAAAGGAAGGATCACTTCCTCCTTGCCCCAATCCACACTTGGTCAAGTTAGGAAGTTTTGCTATCACTCGGATAACCCTCACAAAACTACACTAATGAAGTATTTTTCTCACACAAGAAAAGTTTATACGAAATTCACACAACTAAGAGTACAAATCTTCTTTGAAGAGAATTTTCTCACTAAAATTGCTCTAGATCTTTTGTAGTCTCAATGTGCAAAAGTACTTTGAAGTAGTTGATCATGCTCTATTTATATGAGGCCAAAAAGTTCCTCTATTAATGCTTCCAATGGATAGAAGGAGCTGAAGAGTCAACTAGCCGTTGGTACTGTCGGACGTCCGGTAGTCTTGTTTCTTGCGTCCGACAGCAGGCAGTGAGCTTAAGAGATTTTCTTCAATTCTTTTGGATGTCCGGTACCTTCAATGTTTGCGTCCGAAAGCAAATAGTGAAACTGAGAGATTTTCTTCAAGCCTTTCAGACGTCCGGTACCTCCAATGCTTTGCGTCCGAAGTGCCGCATTGTTTATCGGATGTCTGGTGCTCTTGTGTTTTACGTCCGATCGAGGTCAGTGAGTTTAGAGAAAATATTTTAATTCCTTCGGACGTCCGGTGGTGAGTTCATCATGCATCCAAAGTTGCGCAATAATTATCGGACGTCCGATCTAGTTTTCACAAGCGTCCGACAGCTTTCAGTACTCTTTGTCTCTTTCAGTTGTATTTAATGTTTGAACTTGATTTGCTTCATAGCTGAAAAGATTTTTGAAGAGATATTAGTAACATCCATTTGTTTTGTAATCATCACAAGCTAGGGACTAAAATTAACAATCTCCCCTTTTTTTATGATGACAAAACAATGGATGGGGGAAAAATAATTGAGCCAAAAACTTCCCCTCCCTTATTGCATCCAAAAAGTTTTTAAGTGCTAACTCCCCCTCAGGATAACTCCCCCTTACACATTTACCAGTTTACACTTTCTGACATTCCATCCATCATAATCTCATCATCCATTTCTCCCCCTTTTTATCATCATTAGATGAGTTTAACAACAATGGTAGCAATCCAATATTAGAAATCAAAGCAAATCAGAAATCAACATCAAAAATCATACAATCAACAACCAGTCAACATATCCAATATGTCCAATCCAATCAGTGAACAATGGCCGAAAGTATCCAATCTAATATACCACAGCATACCAGAAATGCAATCCAAACACACGCACAGAAAATTAATATCAGAAATCAAAGGAGGTATCAAATAGAGGAATACTATAGCAAACTAACTAGAAACCATTAAAGTTAACCAATATCCATGGTACAGAGTACTTGAAATGTCAAAATACAAAAGATGCAAATATCTACTATGAAATGTCATCCTAAAAATGAAGTGCAAGTGCCTAAAGTGTCTAAATGGTGATCTTGGACGATCCAGGTCTCCTCCTTGCTTGGCAAAACTGAGCAGGATCCATTTCTTCTTCAGTTTCCTCATCATCATCACTGGCTTCAGTTACAGGAGCCTTGCTCTTATCTTGTGGCTGAGAAATTGAGGCATGAACTTCAGGAGTGGACTTAGGATAGGGCCCTTTGTCTTGTGGGATAGGGGTGGACTCAATTGGTTCAGTTTGAGGCGCCTTTTGATGTACATTTTCGTCTTCTTGAGGGACAGGAGGCACAAGCAGATTTCTTTTGTCAATGAAGGTGACTTGTTGCACAGGTGACATGGTCATAATTGGACCATCTTCAAGAAGGAGAATGTGTTGTTTGAGATCCTCAAGCAAGGAGATGACCTCATGAGTGGATGAGGAAGGCTGACTGGATGATTTTCTGGGATGGATGGTGAAGGGTGAAACATATTGAGACTGATCTCGGGGAGTTCTAGGGGTGACAGGGGTTTCATGACGACTCTTTGTCCTAAACTCCAAAACAGACTTCTTGTAGTACTAATGACCATCAAAGAATCTAAGATTTTTTCTTTCAAAATAAACTTTTGAAAAAATGGTGGATGCACTCTCTTTTGGTGACACTCCAATGAAAGGAATTTTAAAGTGAGCAAAGATTGGAGTTAAAAATTTTTCATAGAAAAGTTTCCTACGGCTATCAGTGCTGATTTTGAACAAGAATTTATACATAACAAAGCCGAAATCAATTCGAATCTTTTCAAGAAAGCAATAAAACAAGTAAAGCTCCATGTTGTTGGCATCTGTCTTATGAGCATCAGTAGGAACCAATAAATTTGAAATAATTGAAAAGATGATCAAATTTTGGAGACTGAAATCCTCCAATTTGCCTCGGCGGGAGTGTTAAAATGTATTTGAAAATAAGTCATCAATTTTGCAATATGAAAATGATGATAGGCAGAAGGAAACTCTTCATAAGAGAAAAAATTTCAAATTTTTTCTTTAAAATCATCTTCAATTTTGGTCTTTAAAATAGCATTAACAATGTCAGGATTGAAAGCAATATCAACTGAATTGATTCGAGAAACAAGATCAGTGTGTGAGCTACCTTTCCTAAGGTTAGCAAAAAATGGATGAAGCGTATCAGGATAATAAGTGTTGGGAATGGTTAGAATGTGAGTCCATTTTTGAAATTCAAAAAACTTAAGAACTGGTTCAAGGTCAAAGTTACGGAATTCATAAGAGATAATGGTCCTCTGAGTGATGAAACCCTTCTGTGAAATCCATTCAAACCTCTCCCTGACATCATCATCAATAAATTTGGGTAATGGGGTAGATTCTTCCTCAATTTGAGTAGCAGATTGCCCTCTAGTAGGACGTTTCCTCTTTCCACTACGTTGAGGAGCAGTTGGTACATCAGTCCTTGTTCTTGGTGATTTCCTGGTAGAAGGCTCAATGGTTTGCTGTTCCTCACTGACATTGGGTACTTCAGTTGGTTGTGTTTCAGTTTGATTTGTTCATTTCGCTCAAGCAGGCTATGTCCTTTTTCCACCGCATGCCTTAGTTCCTTTTCTGGGTGATTTCATAGTGGAAGGCTTGACAATCTCAATGTCTTCATCCTTTAGTCTGGTAGTGCGTCTGGCACCATCAGATCCTCCTCTTACTCTAATCATGGTGATATGCAAGATATTTTTTATGCAGAGTGTGATGAAAAAGTGTATGAGATGGACTAATATTGCAGTATGGACTGCAATGTATGTGACGACCCCACCTTCTCCTAGGGCCTACCCTAGAAGTTAGCGGATCGCCTGCCTAGCTCTCGCCAGAACTCACTCACTTATATTAACTTCAGAGATAACATTATTATTGAACAACTGAACATTCACTCTTAAGTACCAGTCCAATCAGCTTGAAACATAGATTTGTCCACTAAAAGAAACAAAATACACGTTCTAAACATCCATTCTTAATATTACATCAACTCAAAACAGAAGATTCAACCATCTTAAAATACAAAAGAAAACGTGACTCCAATATATACGCATAGTGATGGAATTTCCCAAAACAACTTTCCAATTCCATCCAATCACTTTTCAATCTCCAACTCCTGTAAGGAAAACAAAGCCAAAAGGGCGAGCTTACGCCCGTGAGGTTTCCATGCAAGCAACAATCAATTAGCACTTAAATCAGTACAATTAAGCGAGTAGTGCACATTTCACTATACAATCACTTTCATTAAGCAATTGAGGAAGCACATCACCAAACAATCACTTTTAAAAGGATACGGTGTTCGCATTAGAGCCACTTCAATCCACTACACACTCTGCCGAACTCCTCCTTATAACCTCCAAAATAATAAACACTTCCCTCACTTGGATGGCCATATTAATATCAGTAATCTGGTATTCCGTGGTAATACTCGAGTATAATAAACACTTACCCAAAGCTACCGTCCTACCCGACCAAGCTTTTTGCTGGTTCGAATAGTCAGTTGAACAGAGGGTTTTGGGGCCTAGTTTAGCCAGTGTGATAAGGTACACAGATGGCTTACAGTCATGCACACTTACAATATCACTTGATCAATTATCAACCTTCAACCTCAACTAAGCCGAGTGCAATAAAGTACACTCTCGACTTAGAAGGCGAGAGACAATTGAAAACACTTCACAATGAATCACTTAGCAATATTTCATAATAAGCACATTTGCCATATAATTGCACTTAGGTACATATAAGCAGTTTAACACATAACTTCGGAAAACACTCACCAAAGATTCAAATGACTACTCTCGAGTCTCGAGTTGGTTTCCTGGTTCACGGCTACTTCCTGGTACAAGTTAATAATTCTAAAGTGAATATTCATTTTATATACAACCATTCATCTTACATAATTTAAGGTTTAAGTAACTAAAACCCAAGTTCCTAAGCTTATAAAACGAATCACCAAAATCTAGCAACCTTCCTTACGTTTGTCTTCAAGATTATTAAGTTTGGTAGCTTTAAAACAAGGTTAATGTACATATACACCAAATTTTAATATCATATAAAACACTTGAGCTAAGATTAACTTATTTCCAATCTAATGTGCAAGGATTAAGACAAGCAAACGTTTCATTTCTTCCGTCTAGGCTAAAACCGATTCTAGTTTGACCTTAAAGTACAAATATAATATATTCAATATTCATTTATCATTTTATTTTGAAACTCATTGACTTTATTGTTTTAATCAAGAATTATACCTGTTTTCCCAAGTTAATAATTTATAAGATATTTATTTTAGGATTAAATCATTTTCCACTCAAGATTCTAAGATTACAGTTTAGGAGTACTTCATTGGTCCCCTTTTTAATTAATTAAACTCTAGGTTATTTGTAAGTTAAATTTTATTCTACTACACCAGTCCCTCAAATTTTATAGTCTTTAAAATATTTGTGAAGACAATATTAAGTAATTGGAAGCCAATTTAGGTACATAATTATCATGAGTTTTCCCCTCATTTGCTTTAGTTTAACTCTACTTGTGGAGTTGTATATAGCCATTAAATCTTAGGGTAACCATAGCTATCATTTATGAAAGCTTACAAAGTTGGAAATTAGAGGAAATGCTGGTTCGAAGTTGGTTCCTCACGGCCATTATCAAAGCAAAGTGCATCCGGGAACAAAAGGAAAGCAACAAGAAAGGCAGCTTTGCCACCCTCTGATGTTTTGATCACAACTGGAGCTATGCTTATCGGATTGAGGCAAATTTTATAGCGTTTCGAAGCTAAGACATAGACCTACATTTCTTCTGAAGACATCGACATCCAGTTATCGCATTTTCAAGGCCAAAAGGGACGGTCAGAAGCACAATCTGTTTCATTTTCTCGGTCAGCAACCAAAACTAGTAACGTTACTTCAAGCTTTCGACAAAAACTCTATTCTTTCACTTGCTTAAAGCTCTAAATATTTAAAGTACATTCAGTCCAGCATATACCAAGGCAAATAGCATCTAGTTTCAACAAATTATTCAATCCAAAAGCTACGCACAACAATCTGTCATCAACTAATTACAATTTGCAGCAGTATAGCAGTTTAACATGTGGTGTTTTCCCATAATTTTCTTTTCAGTTTCATGCTCCAACTAGACATGCAGGGGATAATCATTCAACTACAGACCATCTTAAGCAAAACATAGAAATTTATAGCAAAAAATCCAAGAGAAAAGCTGAACCAAAATTTATATCCTCTCTCGGCTATAAAGTTGGTTCGTAGCAGCAAGTGATGCCTAAAGACGAGTTTCTTCTACTAGATCCCTCCATTTTATGCTCAAACCTCTCATGCATGAAGAAATCAAGATATTATACAACATATTACAGATTAACACAGAATTTTAGAGTCATTATTCACCAAAGATAGCTGAAACTTTTCCATTCCCCCCCCACTCGGATGAAGCTGGAAAAATTCTAGCAAGGATCTTCCATCGATCCTCCCAATTTCTAACTTTTCCCAAATTTCTTCAACTAAACTTCTTATAATACCTGAGATAACCATATTACATGCTTTTCTTATATTATATTTTCCATTTTTACACAGCTAATGAGCTGAAATTCATGTAATTACTCCCGGTTGCTACAACTTCAGTCAAATAATCATTTTAATCTCAAACCAGAATTTTTCTTCAATCGAAGCTCATTTCCTCTGCTAAAACTTATCTTGCAGCTTGTATATATATATATATATATATTCATTTATACTCAATAAATAAGTTTTGATCACAGAGAGGTCTTTCCTTTAAGAGTTAAAAATTGCAGACTGACCAGATTTTCCCAGCTTTGTTTCCTCAAGGTCTGCACCAGCTATCCCTCCTATTTTCCTTGCCTTTCTCTTCTTGATTATGATCAGCAGATGATGAAGCTAACCAAATTTTCTCTCCCTCACTCTTAGTTCCATTCCCTCGATTCCATTTTTGGAAAGAAAGAAAGAAAGCTGCCTTGTGTTTCTTTCCTCTCGATCACCGCCCAACTAGCAATTTCTTTCTGTTTGTTTCCTCTCGGTTGTCTTCCAGAAGATGGCTTCCTTAGGTTACATAGTAGTTTAACCAAGATTCAGGGTTAGTTAGGTCATTAGTATTAACTTATTTGCTCACTAAGGGGCTGCTGTTTTATTATTTCATGCATTGATTCCAAACTTCATTTGTTCTAATTTATGTGCCCTTACAAAATTCTCGTACATTAATCTAGGAGATTTTCATACATTCGGTTTTAAAGGAAAATCAACTAGACATATAATTTATTCAACTGTATAATATATGCTACGTGTCTAGTAATATATGCAAATGACACAATTTACAATATACATACCATGTGTTTATTTGATTCATAAAAATTTTTCTACACCAATCTAGGATATTTCTAATTCTCGATTTCATAGAAATTTAATTAGACATTTAATTTAACCACTTATTCGTTATATGTAATATTTCCAATATCAAGGTAAATAAAATAAAATAAATGCAAAGCGCAAACCTGATTTTCTCGAGTTCACACAATATATGCTTGAATCTTTCAAAAAGAGTGAATTTTGAGTGACTAGAGTTTCGGCTGAGAATTGGAATTTGTTGAGTGGTTGGCAGTTGGAGGAAGTTAAGAGTGCCAATGAAAATGCAAAAGGGGTGTGATGGTAGTGAAGAGATCAATTTCTTGGAACTTGTTCAGAGGAGAGATGAATTTGAAAGTAGAAGAAGACGAAAGGGTGCGTCCGAGACCAACGGTTGAATATGAACTAAATGAAGGAGAGGACTGCTTTATAATACGCCTCTTTTGGGTGTCGGACGGTCGAACGAAGAGAAGTATCGATTACTCCCGTCCGAACCAAAATTTTTTTGGAAAAATGACTAAGAACACTGTCGGACGTCCGTTCTAATGCATCGGACGTCCGATAAAGTGTGACCAAAGGATTTCTTAGAAAATCTTTTCTGAAACGCCCAATTTTGTTCTCAAAAACACAAATTGATCTAGTGGTAAGGCTTTTGTAAGAATATCAGCAATTTGATCTTTTGAGCAAACATATTATACACAAATTTCACCCTTTTGGACAAGATCAGGAATAAAATGATGCTTTATGTCTATATGCTTTGTCCTAGAATGTTGAATGGAATTTTTTATCAAATTTATGGCACTTGTATTATCACAATACACAGGCACACAGTCATACTCCAATCCAAAATCATTTAATGTAATTTTCATACATATCAATTGAACACAACATGCACCGGCGGCAACATATTCCGCTTCGGCCATAGACAAGGAGATAATATTTTGTTTCTTACTAAGCCATGACACTAGACAATTACCAAGAAAGTGACATGTACCACTTGTACTTTTTTTTATCTATCCTACATCCACCAAAATTAGCATCCAAAAAAACCACATAAAGGAAATTTATGACATCTTGGATACCAAAGACCATAGTTCAAGGTTCCTTTCAAATATCTAAGAATTCTTTTCACAGCAATCAAATGAGATTCTTTTGGACAAGATTGAAAATGAGCACACAAGCAAACAGCGATCATAATATCAGGTCTACTTGCGGTTGAATAGAATAAGCTACCAATCATACCTCTATACTTATTTTCATTAACTTTTATACCTTATTCATCCTTGTCAACCTTGGTAGACGTGCACATGGGTGTTTCAATTTACTTTGAATTCTCCATTCCAAATCTTTTGAGCAGGTCCTTGGTGTATTTAGTTTGATTAATGAACGTACCTTCTCGAGTTTGAACCACTTGGAGCCCAAGGAAGAAATTCAATTCTCCCATTATACTCATCTCAAACTCTTTTTGCATAATAGTAGAAAAATTCTTGCACAAGCACTCATTAGTGGCACCAAAAATAATATTATTCACATATATTTGCACAATTAAAAGGTTATTTGAACTTTGTTTAGTGAAAAAAGTGGTATCAATAATACCTCATCTAAAATCATTTTCAATCAAAAAACTACTTAAATGTTCATACCATACTTTTGGAGTTTGTTTAAATCCTTACAACGCCTTTGAGAGATTAAACACATGATTTGGATATGTCTCATTTTCAAAATCGGGAGGTTGGTCAACATAAACCTCTTGATTAATAAAATCATTTAAGAAAACACTTTTAACATCCATTTGAAATAATTTAAAATCTTGTAACATGCAAAAGCCAAGAACATTCTAATTGATTCTAGCCTAGTTATGGGAGAAAATGTTTCATCAAAATCTATTCCTTCTTCTTGAGTATATCCCTTAGCTACAAGTCCAGGCTTATTTCTCACAACTTCACCTTTGTCATTCATTTTATTTCTAAAAATTCATTTTGTACCAATGATAGGATGATTTTAAAGCCTTTCAACGAATGTCCAAACTTTGTTCCTCTCAAACTGATTCAGTTCCTCTTCCATAACTAAAATTCAGCTTTCATCTTTCAAGACATCAACAACATTTTTAGATTCAAAATGCGAGACTAAGGCAAAATTATCCATCAATTGCTTAGTGGAGGAACGAGTTCTAACCTTTTCGGATGGATTACCAATGATAAGCTCCTTCGGATGGTTTTGAACAAACTTCCAAGCTCTTGGAAGATCTTTAGGTGTACCATCATCCTTGTCATTTTCTTCCAATGCTTGATTCTCTTGAGGATCATTTTCCTTTGAATCATCTTTTGGTGGAGCATTATCTTGATCATGAATTGTGAGTTTCGTAAGTTCTTCTTGAACACCTACATCATCATCCTCACAACTACTTTTGAAAATATCATCATTAGATTTATCAAATGTAACATGAATGGCTTCTTCTATAACAAGAGTCCTTCTATTATAGGGCTTGTTTGGCACCCAGTTTTTTACCAAAATTTTTAGCTACTAGTTTTTTTACAACTTTTGCTACAGGAACCCCAAAAAACTTTCCAAAGTTTTTTATCTACACACTTAAAATATCCAAAACACAAAAAAAAAAAAAAATTCCCTTCCCCTTTTCTTTTTCTTCCTCCCCCACCACCACCTCCGTCGCCGGCTCCGGCGCCGATTTTCGGTGCCGGTGCCGGTCTTTTTTTTTCCCTCTCCCCCTCTTCCTCTCCTGCCATCTTCCCATCTTGTCTTTTTTTTTTTCTCTCTGCGATTCTCCCATTTCCTCCCCCACCTCTCTGTGAAAAAAAAGAAAGAAAAGAAAGATGGTGAGAAGCGGGAAGGGGAACAGGTGAGGCGGGGGTGGCGGGGCAGAGGGGCGGGCAGAGTGGTGGGGGGAGGGGGAAGGCGGGCAGAGGGTGGGTGGCGGGGGAGGGGGGTGGCGGGGCAGAGGGGGAAGGAGGGCAGGGGGGGCGGGGCAGAGGTGGTGGCGGGGGAGGGAAGGCGGGTAGAGGGGGTGGCGAGGGGGGGAGGTGGCAGGGCAGAGGGGTGGCTACTGGGGGTGTTGGAGGTAACGGGGAAGAAGAAGAGGAAGAAGAAGAAGAAGAAGAAAAGAAAAAGAAAAGAAAGCAAAAGAAAAAGAAAAAGAAAGAAAAAAAAGAAAAGGGGGTGGCTGCTGGGGGTGGCGGAGGTAACGGGGGAGAAGAAGAAGAAGAAGAAAAGAAAAAGGAAAGAAAGAAAAGGAAAAAGAAAAAGAAAGAGAAAGAGAAAAAGAAAGAAAAAAAGAAAAGGAAAAAAAGTTTTTCACCTTACAAAAATTTCTACAAAATTTTTTCAAAAACTTCTACAGTGCACTACAGTAAAGTTTTAGACAAACTCCCAAAAAACTCAGGTTCCAAACAGGCCTATAGACTTTAAAACCTTTTTTGTTTTCACAATATCCCAAGACAATGCCTTCATCGGATTTCTTATCAAATTTTTCAAAATGTTCCTTGATGTTTAAAATAAAACACTTGCAACAAAAAATTTTAAAATATTCAACAATTAGTTTTTTTTTTATCAAAAATCAACTCATAAGAGGTTTGTTCAAAATAGGTTTCAAGAGAACTCTATTCATTGCATAACAAGCCGTATTTACGGTTTCGGCCCAAAAATATTTTGGCAAATTGCATTCACTTAATATAGTTCTTGCTGCTTCTTGAACAGTTCTATTTTTTCTTTCAACAACACCATTTTGTTGTGGAATTCTTGCAATAAAAAATTCATGAGTAATTCTATTATAATTACCAAATTCTGAAAAATAATAGAATTTAAATTTCGAGACATTGTCATTTCTTATTTTAATAATTTTCAATCCAATCAGATTTTGAACTTTTACAAATAGGGAAACAAAATTTTTGAAGGCATCATCTTTGTGAACAAGAAACATCATCCAAGTGTATTTAGAGAAATCATCAATAATGACCAAACAATATCTTTTACCACCCAAACTAGCAGTTTCTGTAAGACCAAACAAGTCAAGATGTAAAAGTTCCAAGGGTTTTAAAGTAGAAATACATTTTTTGGGTTTGAAAGAGATTTTAACTTGTTTTCCAAATTGACAAGCATCACAAATCTTGTCCTTTTCAAACTTAATTTTTGGCAAATCTCTAACAAGTTTCTTTTTGAAAATTTCTTTTAACAAATTCATATTGAAATGACAACCCCTTCTATGCCACAGCCAAGGGTCTTTATTTGCAACTTTAAGACATTTAAAACTAGAAGAATCAACATTTTCAAGGATAGCTACATAAATGTCATTCACTCTTTTTTTCTTGAAGATAATATTAAATTTTGAGTCAAGAATAAGACATTCATGCTTTTTGAATAACACAAACAGATTTCTATCAGACAATTGACTAACACTACAAGTTATAACTCAAATTATCAATTAGAAGAACATTGTGAACAAAAATTTGACCATTCTTACTAACATCTCCTACTCCAACTGTTTCAACTTTATTATCATCTCCAAATATCACTTTTTCACTTGATTTTGGTTTGAAATTGATGAATTGTGA